AATATATACTTTTTGAGGAAAATACTAAGATGGATATGTAGAATTGTAAATAAGTGTATATTTCGTCTTGTGAGCGCGAAGTGTATGCCTCTCCTTAATCAAGATGTATAACTTATAATCTACATTTGTGGTGAGTGGAATATCGGTTAACATAATCATGCCAGTATGTTGATGTATCACATTGTATGCACCTCACATACAATCCTGTAATCAATTCCACAAGTACAATCCTTCGCCCACATCACTTGCCAAGCACAACCAAGCGTCACAACGGCGTCTGTACTTACAATGGTGAGTATGGTGCAGTCCGTGAATAGCTGGCGCAGTGTCGAGGATATGAGCTGGTCTGTTTTATTGTCCACATTGGCTGTGGCCTCGTCCATGATCAGGATCTGCGCGTGCATTGTAGAAGATCACATGCATTTGTATGTCAAAATATACCTCCCGAAGTGTGAGACGTCAAGCACCGATTGCAGAACTCAACAACAAACTACGATGTGGGGTCAGAAGTGGACTAGCCACACGCTACACCCCCTAGTTGTCACTGCTATCACTCAGCCCCCACCCCCCCCCACACACACAGTATGCGTTTGTGATATTTTGTGATAGTATGGATTGTTTCCAGAGAACACTTTGTCCCATACCTACCTTGTTGTGAGAAAGTATGGCGCGGCACAGGCAGAACAGCTGCTTCTGACCGATGGACAGGTTCCCGCCATCCTCCGTCACGACCGAATACAGCCCATTGCCCTGAAGATTAACAAGCCAAGCGGTGCGAAGAGTTGAGGTCAGTAGTTATTGTATACTGGATCATCGAAAGAATATATATGATACATAGAATGCAACCCACTGTGATATATATATATATATATATATAACCCCTAAGTTGTCCACCAATGACACCACCAGTGTAACGAATTATACTAATTTGGCATGATACTAGCAATTCTTACCATGCTCTCTGTCAGATCCTTGAGCTGCACATCGGCCAGAGCCTTTAACAGCACCTCATCAGAGTGTTCGTTGAATGGATCGAGGTTGGAACGGATAGTACCTGAAAACAGCACGGGTTCCTGAGGGATGACGGAGATGTGGCTGCGCAGAGTGTGCGTGCCCAGCAGATGGGTTGGTACATCTGTGGCAAACAGCGAGGTCAGCAGGCAATTTCGGAAGATAAAACGAAGTAGTAGTTGGTGGGATATGTAGGTATGTACTAGGGAAGGTGTATATGGTTGGGTATAGGGTTTACTGACGATGAGGCGGTGTTCAGTTACCTGCACATGTGCAGAGTCATATCACACACACACATACAGCAGCACAATAAAGCACATACATATTTACATACAAACATAAATACATTCATACAAAACTACATAGATGAATACATACATACATATAAAACATATATATATACATACATACATACAAACATACATACATACGTACATACATACATACATACATACATACATACATACATACATACATACATACATACATACATACATACATACATACATACATACATACATGGATACATACATACATACATATATATATATATATATACATACATGCATACATACATACATACATACAGCAGCACAATCATGGCACATACGTACACATACGTATATTCTATCACACCAACTATGCTAATAATGGAACATCAAACCCATACCGTCGATGTAGACGCCAGTGGGCTGTGCCTCTGTTTCGTATTCGGTCAGTCGGAAGAGTGCCGCGAGTATCGATGACTTACCCGCCCCCGTGCGGCCCACAATCCCGATTTTCTGGCCAGGTAGGATGAGTGCATCGATGCCCTGTAGTGGTGGTGTGAATTGAGGTTCAAGACCAGACAATGCGAGTACGCATACGGACGATACATAGGAGTGTGTATTGGATATGCAACAATGCAAACGAGCATATATAAACAAAATGTTATTGCCAGCAAGGATGAGTGCACCTGTTCCCTGCAATATGGTTGTGAATTGGGTGTCATGGCAATGCTATAAAAAAAAATGTACGGGCGAGAGATGCTGGTGTGCTTAAATCCATGCTCCCCACACCAACAGCAATAAAAGCTGATACCATAGCACCGGTTGCTCGGTCCAATTCTTCTGACATGTAGGTGCATACCTTCAATACAGGCGGTAACAAGGGCGAATATCGCATCACCAGCTGCTTGAACTCAAGCTTGCCCTTTTGCGGCCACCCCTGGACTCAGAAAAAAAATAGCCACATAGACTGCAAATCAATACGTTGTACATCCCCTCAGGCAAACTAACAATGGAGATTCATGCTAAAGGTTCTTACTGGTTCGTCGCAGTAACATTAGGATATCAGTTTTTTTTACAGTATATTCAATACTGTGTGATGTGTGAATAGCCTCAGGTATAGGGTCCCTACTAGTACGTAACACTATCATTACAATATACGCGGCAAAATTCAATGCATATTGACTACTATCTGCACTACAAATTACCTCAGGTAGAGGGTAGTCCGTCTGGGCCGGTGCCTCCGGAGGCAGGTCAGTGTATTCAATAACTCGCTCCGTTGAAGTCATTAAGTTCTCAACTTCTGCACTGTATGGAGTGATTCGTAGTTAGGCGGGGAAAAATATGAGACGAGAGGCTAGTAAAGCACAATCGAGATGGGTGTGTCAGTCGTTTATGACCTCACATTATATATATATATA